ATAACACTTCTTTTTCAACACAGTTGCAAAATCATTAAGCTTCATAGAAATATATTAGGTTTGAAGTCAACTGGCCTAATTCACGGACATTTATTTGGTGTAATAGGAGGGACGACAGCTAGGTCGACTAAACAATACACTTTTTTTGTCGTCTTGAACTACATCGAATTATTGCCGGTGGTTATTTTCGTAGCTCGAGACCGTTTTAAAGCACTTCTATGGGCTCGGGATGAATACTCAATTTTTTTATAAATGCACCTAACTTCTCTGGAGGAACAGGGTCGACACCTCTCCAATGAAGGCACTTAGCTAACGAATAAATTTAAATGCTAATAAGATCAAGGTAATGATATTTAACAACACGTGCATGGAAGTGTTCCGTTAGGCTAATTATTTCAGTCAATCAAGTTTAACCCTACTTGTAAAATATGCGGATGATTTACTTCTTGATTTAAATTACAAAATTGTTTAATATATTTTAGTGATTTTATTTTATCATTAAGTATATGACTTAAGAAACTCATTAACTTCGTTATGCATATGACTTAAGAAACTCATTAACTTCGTTATGCATATGACCTAAGAAACTCATTAACTTCGTTATGCATATGACCAAAGAAACTCATTAACTTCGTTATGCATATGACCAAAGAAACTCATTAACTTCGTTATGCATATGACTTAAGAAACTCATTAACTTCATTGTTAATGAGTTTCTTAAGTCATATGCATTTCGTTATGCATATGACCAAAGAAACTCATTAACTTCGTTATGCATACGACCTAAGAAACTCATTAACTTTGTCATATTATAAACTTACAGATTTGATAAAGAAAAGTTAGACGTTTCACAAATACGTTAATAAACGAAGTATTTATGAATCGTACAATTGTCTTTGTTCGTTCTTTTCCTCAATTCTGTAATTATGGAGTTTCACTAAGTATGGACGGTTTCAAGTATCAGTTATATTCTAAGCTTGTTTAATATATCTGGGTAGTACTGTAAGTCTGAGATTAGGAAAAATGTTTTGTTTGTCTGATTATATTTCTTCATTATTAGTACTTGTAAACATGAGTATAACTTCTAACATAATGCCATTGTTTTACATACTACCTCCGTACACGATTCAATTTCATTAACGCACGATTGACATAAACTACATATAATATATCACAAGAAAGTTTGATATACGTGTTGTTGACATCTTTTTATATAAATAAAATGTCGTCTGTCTCGCTCTTTCAGCCGTGGGGGCGTTATAATGTGACGGTCAATCCCACTATTCGTTGGTAAAAGAGTAGCTCAAGAGTTGGCGGTGGGTGGTGATGACTAGCTGCCTTCCGTCTAGTCTTAAACTGCTAAATTAGGGATGGCTAGCGCAGATAGCCCTCGTGTAGCTTAGCGCGAAATTCAAAAACAAACAATCGTCTGTCTCATCGCGTGGAAAAACATATGAATATATATATATATATATGTATATATAAATTTGAAAATGTCATGGAAAACCAGTTAATCGCGTATTTTTGATTGTAAGTATCCAAATGTAGACAGATTATAAGCTTTTCTACGTAACGTATTGACTTTGATATTTTCGTGAGTTTTTGCTTTGTTTTTTTGCATTAAGGGAAACTCAGCATCCACAAAAATACACTTATGATCTGTACCCTTATCTTTTCGAAACTGTTTTTTTTCACCTTTTCAGCATTTCATATTATATAATTCAGTCTTTTTGAGTGAAGGCGTTACATATCTGCTCATTCTACTAGTATATATTTATATATGATCCTCCTTTTGACAAAAGGATATCTTCTTTCTGCTATAAATATTCACTCGTAAGAATTAATAGGACGAATAGTAGTGTTATGTGACTTAAGTAGTGTGGAAATCGTATAATATTAGATATTATAATGTTCACAGTGTTTATGATGCAAATTGCATCATATAATTTCTTTGAAAAACCAGTTCATACATTTTACTATTATTCTTTCACGCGAACCACAGAACCTCAGCTCCATACTCTAGCATGCTAACCGTTGGGCTGCTCTCGATAAAAGCAGTCCAACCTTACTTAAGATAATATAAGTATATTTGTTGATATATTATACTGTACAATTTTAACACTTTTTAATACTCATGTATTAGTATGTACGTCTCCTCTGTATAGTTATCAAAATTAATTATTTCATGGAAGTCTGATATCTCATACAAAGCAATATGTTAACGTATAACCAAGACTGTGAAGTACAAAACTTAATCTAAATGTTGATTATCTTATGAAATATATATTGGGAAATTCAATTCTTTGCTATTTAGATAATTAAAAGCTTCTCTGACTCCATCAGATAAAATATAAGACTTTACATGGTATGCTAATCGAAATGTTTAAATACTGTTTTGTGTGGAAATCGTATTAGTTTCCCGTTATTCTATCATAATATTAAATATTCCTCGATTTCAAAACACGAAAAACCACACCGAAACAATATACATATATATTAATTATTAATAAAACAGTTGGTTCTTTAGTAATCTAATCTACATACATGATGTAAATCATCTATTATATTTTCTTTATTAACCTCATAAGCTAAATAAACAGTTATTAAGTCAACTAAGGCAGTATCCGTTAATGTGCTCTTTTCGACAGAAGGCGTTACATTCTGCTCATTTTACTTGTTTATCTTCCTTTGGACGTCAACTATATATATACGTGCCTCGTTTTGACAAAATAATGTCTTCACTCTGCTACAGATATTCAATCATAAGAAATAATAGGGTGAATAGTAGTCTTATGTAACTTAAATAGTGTGGAAATAAGAGATAAACACATCATTAATTATAGGTCAGTATACTACACACTTTTAAAATAGATTTTATATACTCCTATACGTGTCTTTGTATACATTCATTCTGCCAAAATAATGATTTATTAATTTTATTTTGGCTAATAGATTAGTTTTAAGTATTTAACATAATACCATTAATTGAAGTTTAAGCATGCATTTCTCAACCTTATTTTTTTCTAAACGTATTATAAATGTTTATAGGCTGAACCACATAACTTTATTATAGGAATTGTTTTACAACTGATAAAGAAGGAAAATACATTTCATTTTGATAAAACGTAATTGCCTTAGGGAACTCTATTTCGACTTTGCAAAACAATGAATCAAACTGGAAATGTGATAATAATAATAAGAAGAAGAGACACTCTCCGGAGAGAAAATGTTCAATATTGTAAACGTTTTAAAACTTTTAGAAATAAGTTATTATACACTAGAATATTTTAACGTAATTTAAGAGTGATTTGTATAAATAGAATAAAACGTGCTTTGAATCACTTTATGGTTGGTCTGTGTTATCTACAGGTAACACCTGCACCCTTCTGTAAATATGGGTAGTGTGTGTGTGTTTAAATAGAACAAAACATCAAGCTGATGTCTAAGTCTGTGTTATCTACAGGTAACACCTGCACCCTTCTGTAAATATGGGTAGTGTGTGTGTGTGTTTAAATAGAACAAAACATCAAGCTGATGTCTAAGTCTGTGTTATCTACAGGTAACACCTGCACCCTTCTGTAAATATGGGTAGTGTGTGTGTGTGTTTAAATAGAACAAAACATCAAGCTGATGTCTAAGTCTGTGTTATCTACAGGTAACACCTGCACCCTTCTGTAAATATGGGTAGTGTGTGTGTGTTTAAATAGAACAAAACATCAAGCTGATGTCTAAGTTATGAACTCAGAACATAACTCAAATGTTGATATCGTTATGTTTTACGTGTGTGTGTGTGTTTCTGAACACAAAGCAATACTTGGGCTATCTGTACTTTGCCCACCGCAGCTATCCAAACCCGATTTGTAGGATTGTAAGCTCTCAGACTTACAGCTGAGCCACCGGGGTTGGAGTGTGTGTGTGTGGTGGGGGGGGGTGTATTGTTGTGTTATATATTGTTAAAATGAGTTATGTTTTTGTCTTCATACATTTGGATTTTTCTATCGGTGCATCAAGTAAAATATTTAAGCATAACATGTAAATGAGAATATTTAATTTCTAAATTATTTTTTGAGGAAATGGTATGAGATGTTAAATACTTATTTATTTTAATACAGTATTTGGTGAAAGATATATATATATCAATTCAGTTTTGCTTTTTTTAATATTCTATTGTAATACTATGAAACTTCTGTAAACGTTGGACATGCTATAAATGACATTTATAAAAATAAAAGTATGGTAAGAATAGTAGTTAAAATAACAGGTTAATTTCTTCATCTAGTTTACTTCAAAACTGCTAGAATCCGGGTTTCGATACCCGTGGTGGGAAGAGCACAGATAGCTCACTGTGTAACTTTGTGCTTAATTACAAATAAATAAATAAATAAACTTCAAAACTGTAACTATCGATTTATTGATTTTGTTTATGAAACTCAGATAGTTAATATAAAACCTAAACTAATATCTGCCTTTGAAATAGATATTATCAATAAGTTATTTTTAAATGAATGCATCAACTGTAAGATAATTTGTTTAATTGAGTATGTTGACTTCGTTTTGAAATAAATAATATCCAATACGATCTAATTATTTTCATGCACTCTACAGCAGATGTTAATCCAAACTGATTCTGAACCAATGTATTTAAACTAATTATTAATAATTAAAGACATGAGTTTACATAATTTTTGTTTATATGAAAGTATATAAAATTAAAAGTAAATCGAACTTCCAAGCCCCAAATTATGGAGCTTATGTCAATATTGTCAACAGGTGACAAGATACAGGTTCCGGTAGGAATGGTATCTTCAGAAGAAGTACCTCCGTGGTGAGAATTACTAAGTGGTAACCCATATACATAAACTTTAAATCTCTAAACAGACTATTGACAGTACATTATCTTGTGTTATTGGAAGTATAATCGTGTATTGTGGGGAACGATTATTTTTATGTATGTTTTACATTTTACTAATGCAAATATATATATATGTATTGTTTGATAGTGCGTCCGCTGGCCCTGACAATTCGTGGCCGATCTGTACCGGTCGTAGAAGGAGAGATGGTCTCATTAACTTGTACAGTAGAGGGCGCTCGACCAGCCGCGAATATTACCTGGTACAACCGTTCAGAAGTTGTTCGACCTCAACCAATAGATAGCAAGGACTTGATGAGTGATGGGACTTATCGTACTACTAATACGCTAGTCTTTATTGCATCAAGACACGATCACCATGGTGACTTTTTCTGTAAAGGAACCAACAGTGTCATCAAAAAACGACTAGAAACACCTCTTTTCCAAGTAACTACTCTAGAAGTTCTATGTGAGTAACAGTCATTATCCATTAAATTACCATTTCCTAAATATTTCGAGCTGTAGTAATGGAGCCTATTTTACTTCTATTAAAAAGGAACTTAAATATTCCCTGCCCTCAGATGGAATAGAACGAACATGATTTATGATACTGCAGGATTGCAAAGATTACGCAAATTATGGCACTTGTATATTTTATTTATTGTTCCTGAACATAATCCATGTTCACATTTGAAATATTTTTGAAGCGTTGTAGCATTGGCACTCATTTCTTTGTTTAGTTAGCTATTTATACTTTAGGGTATATGAACACTTACTTTCTTGCGCTGATGTGTATCAAGTTATAGAAAGAAAAAAAATTGGATTTTATGTATTTAATGTATCTTTTTTTCCCATCAAATTATCCAAAAACACGCAGTATATCTACAGGTGGGTTTTCTTGCCTATTTTACATGTTGTAAGCGCACAGCGCTTACCTCCAATAATAATATATATAAAAGTGTCGTCTGTGTGTGTCCTTTTTTTCACGCCTACACATTTTGACCGATCTTAACTAAATTAGTATAGAGTCTTAAGGCACTCTCTGGGTCAGTGATCGGATCTGATCTCCTTATGTAACCTTTCAAGGAGACCTGTTATTCCTTATGTTATGTTGGGGTTAAAATTAATTCCTCGAGATGGCGTTTGTAGTTTTAAGAAAAATAAAAGTCTAAAGCAGAACTAGAATTATTACGAAAATTCAAAATAATTGAAATAATAGAAATCCATAAAATGTACTTATAACATGTATTGATATGTATGGTTGTATACTAGCTGAGGTACTCGTTAAACGTATGACAGAGAGAGAGATAGAAGCCTAAATCTGAGCACCAACCCCCTATATCACTGTCAGATCATCAAATAATTGCATCGAATATAAAACTAGAGAAAATGTAATTCATGAAAAGTTTGTTCGAAGTAAAACAACTCTGTAGTAGCTATAGGTAGGCCAGATTACAAAATATATTTTAGGTGGAGTGAAGCTGTGGAAATGTAGAGTGAGAAAATTCGGTAATTAGATATTGAACACTATGCTAAATTTAATAGTTTAGTTTGTCTTCTTTAAACATATTTAGCAGAAAAAGGTTAATATCTTATTTTTTTACTTGTACTCTTACCTACTATATGTATTTCTTCTTTGCTCTGAAGGAATATCGAGCACAGTATGTTCGAGCCACAATGATGCATATTTTACAAAACTTCGAAATAAAAATACACAGAAAAACAAGCACTGGATCCCCCCTCACTTACATATATAATAGTTATAATAGTCTTAAATATAGAAATACACCATACAGTATTGCTAGCGTGTACACAATAAATAGATACTAAGTCAATGAACTCATGCTAAGTATTTTGGCATATTTTGATTACGACTTAAACAGATAGGCTGCAGATTGGAATTACAAGAGTTTGCAGATATTCACGAAGATGTTATATTACATATAAAAAAAAGTGTATAATCGATTATTAACACACATACAAGCATCAAGAGGGGTGTCCAAAGTAAAGGGTAGTAATAAATTATGTATGCCTAGGCCTTACAATTCCTTTCTTCCACTATATATATATATATATATATATA